CATTCAAAGACCACAGGACAGTTCACAACATGACAACATGAAAACACAAAATATATGAGACTTTTAATTTCAGGGTCATGGGTTTGAGCCCCACATTGGGCAAAAGATTCTGGCATTGTAAGGGGTTGGGTTAGATGACCCTCACGGCGCCTCCCAAACTCAATTCTCTGATTCTCCAATTCTCTGAAACCTATCTCCCTCCTCCCATGGGTTTCATCTATTCTTTCACACATCACATTCATGCACATGCAAACACCATTGTGCTGGTCCAGGGGGGAGGTTACCGTGGGGCGAGGTCCAGGACCTGAGTCGAGGGTCGGCAGACAGTCCCCACGGGCAAAGCGGGGTCCACAGCGAGGAGCCGGGCAAGGACAGGAACTCTGGGGAAATAGGACTGGATGCTGGCCGAAACAGCTCTTCAATGACGTTGCTCCCGCAACCTGGGACCGGGCTGACTGGCCTTTATCTTCTCTGAAGCCAGGGGCGGTCCCGGCCCCCAGGTGACCCGCCTCTCCTGGCCTTAAGGTGAGCACTCCTCCTGGGAGAAACCAGTTCCCTCCACCTCTCTGCCCTGAGCCTCTGCAGCCCAGGAGAGGCCGGTGGATTACTGGACCCAGGGGAAGACTCACTTTCCCCTGACAAGGCTGGGAGAGGTGCACCTGTAGGCAATGTGTCCTCAATCGCCAGAGTGGATTCACCTGGTGCCTGCTCCTGAGGATCCGGCCCAGGTGCAGGCGCTTCAGAATCAAGGCCCTGCCCCAGCTCAGCTGGCCCTGGAGGGGGGACTCCTGTGCAGGCTGGGATTCCTCCGGTTCAGCCTCTGAATTGGATTCCCAGTCCATCACAACCATTCTGCCTCAACCACATTTGAAACATCCCATGTACTCACACAAACATATACCAGCCGACATCCATTCATGTTCCTGCCCTGGCTTCAATCAAAGATCCACTGGCTTCTGGTGACTGTCTTCCAAAGGGGAACTTCCATCAGCCGACATCCACAAACATCAGTCTGCTTTAGCCTTGTAGCCTCCACCAACTTCCGAATCCAAAAGCCACTAGCTACCATCCACCAACATCTGCCAGCTTCTCTTAGGTCCATCATGAGACATCCGCCAGCTTCCAACCACGGATACCAGCAGCCTTCAAGCAAGCAAACTTGCCTTATTATTGCTCCCTAGCATCCTACTGCCAGAGGACTGCTTCCTTCCATTCACCACTTTGCCTCCTGCAAGTGGGAGAAACCTGGGCAGTGCTGAATGTCACATCCATTGCCAGGTGTGCCTCTTGGAAATAGAAAAGGACTTTCCCCTTGGCCTGCCTTTATATCCACTCAGTTGCCAAGTGCTTTTGTGACATCACAAGAAACCCACAGCCAACGACAACAGCTGGGGAGGCATTGTCTTCATTGCTTTGAGCCTCGCAGTGGTGGGTGGACCTATCAGTGATTGTGTGCTTGTTTATTTGGGACATGGGTGGTACTGTGGTCTAAACCACTGAGCCTCTTGGGCTTTCCAATCAGAACGTTAGTGGTTTGAATCCCTGTGACGGGGTGAGCTCCTGTTGCTGTTTCCTAGCTCCTGCCAACCTAGCAGTTCAAAAGCACACCAGTACAAGTAGATAAATAGGTACCACTGCAGCAGGAAGGTAAATGGCATTTCCGTTCTTTCTGGTTTCCGTCACGGTGTCCCGTTGTGCCAGAAGCGGTTTAGTCATGCTGGCTACATGACCCGGAGAGCTGTCTGTGGGCAAACGCCGGCTCCCTCGGCCTGAAAGCGAGATGAGCGCCACAACCCCATAGTCACCTTTGACTGGACCTAACTGTCCAGGGGTCCTTTATCTTTACCTTTACCTATATCACAGCAATTACACCAGCTTGTGGAACGTCTTTTGTGCAGGATGACAAAGGCTACAGTGAAGGTTAGTTTCACAAGCCTGTGGATACAACCTAATGCAGCAGAGCATCTCCTTGCCCCCTTCTGCCTTGGAGGATTCTCAGTTGAAAACTGAAATTCTTCCAGGCCCGCAGTTGAATTGTATGTACTGCTAAGTTTGAAGCAACACCCCATAAAGCAAAACCAAGGAAAATTTTGCAGAGAGGGAAATTTGGTGACAGTTAACATTGATTTTGCTCTTAAGATTAGGTTTGGGATTTCATAACACTATCAGGAAGACACGTGTCAAATGGAGTATTCTTCCATTTATGTGGTCGAGTGATCCAGAGGAATGATGGATCGGGGGGGGGGGGGGATAGGAAAAGAGTTTAATAAGAAATTTGCGACTCCAAGGAAAAACGCCCACGCCACAATACCACGGAATTAAATGTAACTGAAATGAATTTATGACAATGGATTTTAATTTAGTATACGCTGACTTGGGGAGGGGGAAGCGTTTGCAATTTTCTTCATCTCGTTGGTGAAACCTGTATGAATATCTCAATTATAATTGCATCTTAAAAAAAAATAATGAAATGGGGAACTCTATTGTTCTGCCAGCTGGTAAAATGAGCAGACTAGATATCAAATTTCCCACCCCCGTCCCAGAAAAGACAAAAAGCATTCATTTGGATTCTGGATTGTTTACCGCTTCTTATCAACTCGGTGATTAGATTAATCATCATGCTTATTATGTTTATTAGACACTCCAGAGGAGAGCACAGATAATTTACTGGCTCTGCCAGAGGTATTGCATACATTTTAATGGTGTCCTTCATTTGCCCAACAATAAAGGAGGTGATTCAGATCAAGTTTATCGGTGAATAATTATACACATAGCACTAAGAGTGAGGTGAGGTATCCACATGGCACTTACTGTCCTACAAAGCCCATTCACTGCAGTTATCTTTGCATGGTGTTCCTCTCTGAAGCAGAGCCCAGTTACCACCACCCTGGGCCAACACTTCAAGGACTATTGCAGAGACTGTTGAGAGGGCTTGAGCCATATTGTTCAGGGCACAGCACAGATGGAGAAGCAGCTTTCTGGGGTGGACGGAGCCGTTACACTCCCAAGCTGGTGGGTTGCAGGACGGACCAAGGTGGTGGGGAGATTGTTGTTGTTGTTTAGTCATTTAGTCATGTCCGACTCTTCGTGACCCCATGGACCAGAGCACGCCAGGCACTCCTGTCTTCCACTGCCTCCCGCAATTTGGTCAAACTCATGCTGGTAGCTTCAAGAACGCTGTACAACCATCTCATCCTCTGTCATCCCCTTCTCCTTGTGCCCTCAATCTTTTCCAACATCAGGGTCTTTTCCAGGCAGTCTTCTCTTCTCATTAGGTGGCCAAAGTATTGGAGCCTCAGCTTCACGATGGAATTATTGGGTGCACTCTTCCCACCTTAGATCAAATCTATGCTGCCAGGTGCCATAAGAAAGCGGCAGAGATAGCACATGATAGTACGCACCCCGGAAATGATCTCTTTCAGCTTCTGCCTTCAGGAAGAAGGTATAGGGTTATAAAGGCCAGGACTAGCCGCCTGAAAAACAGTTTCTACGCTAATGCAATTCTGGTTCTAAACGCAGCATAAGGGGTTTCTGTAGTATAGTGTGTTTTAAAATGGGGTTTTAGAGTTTTTAGGGTTTTTTGAATGTTTTATGTAGTTTTGTAGTAGTTTTATGTAGTTTTTATGTAGTTTTGTGGTAGTTTTATGTAGTTTTGTGGTAGTTTTATGTAGTTTTTATGTAGTTTTATGTAGTTTTCAATTTCATTGTTCCGCAAGGGACAATGACAATAAAGATATCATATCGTATCGTCCTTCCAGTGAGCACTCAGGGCTGATTTCCTTAAGAATGGAAAGGTTTGATCTTTTTGCAGTCCATGGGACTCTCAAGAGTCTCCTCCAACACCATAATTCAAAAGCATCAATTCTTCGGCGATCAGCCTTCTTTATGGTCCAGCTCTCACTTCCATACATCACTACTGGGAAAACCATAGCTTTGACTATACGGACCTTTGTTGGCAAGGTGATGTCTCTGCTTTTTAAGATGCTGTCTAGGTTTGTCATTGCTTTTCTCCCAAGAAGCAGGCGTCTTTTAATTCAGTCTTGGTGGGAAGATTGGTGCAGTGCAAATCCACCAGCAGGAATATCAGATTGCCTCTGCTGGTGTGTTTGCCCTGCACTGACCTCCACACTGCCTGGCTTCTCCCATTTCCCTCTAAGTAAGCATAATGGTGATCAGAAAGCTAATGCAACGACTCCATCACACCGGACAAGCTGCTTCTGCACAAATGTCTAGATCAGGAGTGATGAATATGGTGCAATATGTCTGTCTGTGAGGCATCTGTTATACCCAATAAAGGACTCAGCTACGTTAGTAAAGAAACAATGATTTGAATGCGATATAAACATGCCACACCAGATGGTGTGGTGTCAAGAGCAGAAAAAAATTCTATGTGATTTCCCATAGTTTTTTACCTGATCTAATTTCTGACTTATTTATAGCGGGTTTTTCCTCCTGTGTGTAGATCCACCTGAAGTTTAAGCAGCTTACCAGAGTGTGTAGACATGCGCTGGATTTTATATACGTATATATAATTTTTGGGATGCAGGTGGCACTGTGGGTTAAACCACAGAGCCTAGGACTTGCCGATCGGAAGGTTGGCGGTTCAAATCCCTGCGGTGGAGTGAGCTCCTGTTGCTCGGTCCCTGCTTCTGCCAACCTAGCAGTTCGAAAGCACGTCAAAGTGCAAGTAGATAAATAGGTACCGCTCCAGCGGGAAGGTAAACGGCATTTCCGTGTGCTGCTCTGGTTCGCCAGAAGTGACTTAGTCCTGCTGGCCACATGACCCGGAAGCTGTATGCCGGCTCCCTCGGCCAATAAAGCGAGATGAGTGCTGCAACCCCAGAGTCGGTCACAACTGGACCTAACAGTCAGGGGTCCCTTTACCTTTACCTTTATATAATTTTTAAAAGTCACCACTCAATTTGCTATGGACTAAGGTCTGGTGTTTTCTCCCATAATGAGCCTTGACATTTTGTTTGTTTTCCCATTTATACCTTTAAGTGCAGGGATTAGCTACTGGTTGCAAGGATGCAGGAAGCATGGAGAGCAGACTCTGGACCAGAACTACTACTTCCTAGAAGTCAAGAAAGTAAAAACCAAACCAAACACCAATAGGATCCAAGGTGTTTCTCTCCAGCAAACAGGTTTATCTTAAATCATAGCTCTCAGGCATAACTGTCAGAGCTGATAAAGTATTCTGTTTATTGATGCCACCAACGCCAGCTCAAGCATTGACAAGGGAAGGCCCTAAAACTAATCACTCCAACGCCGGGGACAATTAAATTTCAGTGACAGTCAGCCTTATCATTGAAGGGTTCATTTTTCAGCCATTCTCAAATTGCCACTGGAAGGTCAACAAGACCGAATTAAAAGTGCTTCAATCTCGCAGTGCCGTATCTCAGCTCTCATGATTCAATGATGCGGTGCTCAGGAGACACTGATAGGTTTCGCAGATCAGAGCAGATTAGCATTTAAAATTAACGTATCCCACAAATCCTTAATTACACCCACCACCAAATAACGTTTTAAAGGAACAAGGAATTCAAGTAGATTAAAAGGCCCACTCATTATAATAGTGTGAGCATGCACAAAACAGGTTCCCTTCCATGTTAAGAATTAAATATCAGTGGCGGGTTTAAGTAGAAAATAGGTAACAAACAGAAGACAATAGTTAAATTCAAGGTGATAACTGTGCATGATATTGTGTCTTGCTTCTCATTGGTTCATTCCAGCCTTGATTCTTACTATCTTCACCTTCCGTTGGAAGCATTCTTCCTTTTTTTAAAAAAAAGTTTTTTATTTATACAACAAGAAAAAACACACACACACAAATACCAAATTACACACAAATTACAAAAATAACCATAGGCACATAATTTTCTTAGCAAACAATAAAACATCTATTGGTCTTAACATTAAAGACCCAACCTCCCGTCTATTCCATATTTCAAATTCATATTACTTTTTGCCAGTATACGCTTTTATCATAATTAAACTTATTCTCAATAAATCTAATTTCTTATATCTACCTTGCGAGTATTACTGAAGTTCCTCGAATGCTGCAACAGAATTTAAACTACTATATTTATTTTTCAGATAATCTTTGAAAACCTCCCATTTTGAAACAAATTCCTGTTTTGATTTATTCTTTATTTTTTCTGATAAACCATCTAATTCGGCATATTCTGTCAGCTTTTGGATCCAATCTTGTATAGAGGGGATTTCATTACTCTTCCATTTTGCTGCGATCAAAACTCTTGCTGCCGCCGTCGCATATAAAAAGATACCCTTCCTCTTTTGTGGAATATCCAAATCTGTTATTCCCAGGAGCGTTCTTCCTGATGCAAATAGCAGCTCCAGGGAGGCGCATTTTCAGCAAGACCACGTCAGGGGGAAATGGGGGAAACTTTCTCTCTCTACCACATGCAGTACAGTGGTGCCTCGCAAGACGAAATTAATTTGTTCCGCGAGTTTTGTCGTCTTGCGATTTTTTTCATCTTGCGAAGCACGGTGTCGGGAAAGTTTTGGAAAAGCTTCAAAAATCACCAAAGTCTTTAAAAACCTCAAAAAAGGCTACCACACCGCGTTCTATGAGTTGCTCCTCAAAGTCAAGTCGCAACTGTATTAACGGTGTTAAGAAAAAGGAAACAAACTTGCAAGGTGTTTCCGTCTTGCGAAGCAAGCCCATAGGGAAAATCGTCTTGCGAAGCAGCTCAAAAAACAAAAAACCCTTTCGTCTAGCGAGTTTTTTGTCTTGCGAGGCATTCGTCTTGTGAGGTACCACTGTACTTTTTCACTTGGATTGCTGTGAGCTAGAATTCTCGTGAAAATAGGTTCTGCCTTCAACACTGAGCTAGGGCAGTGCTGTAGTAACTTTATTTCCATCCAATCGTAAAGTTGTGGGTATGGGGAGAGATGAAAGCAGTGTCTCTGTCTCATCCAATGCCCTGCTGGGCTGTTGCTGGCAGGGCAGAAGTAAATACTCATCCATCCTTTTCCAGTTTTTGTTAAAAGAAACCCCAGATCTCACTGTTATTGTCCTCAACACGCCTATTTTCCCATCCCTACCAATATTGGTGCTTTGGTGTTAATAAGGAAAGAGCCACAGGAGTTGCCCCAGAGGCAGGAATAGTGAATCGAACATTTAGGCTGGATCTAGACACATAAAAAAAAAGTTTAAGGAAAACACATTGTAAATGTCATAATGGAAAATCACATTGCCGGAAGATGGAACTCTACAGCGCCATCTGGTGTCACAGTATTATAACGTATTTAAAACGCTTTAAAAAAAAAACTAATGCAGTTGAATTCTCAGTCTTCCTCACTAATGTCACAGCGCTGTCTCTCTCTCTCCTCTCAAAGAGAGCAACCTGATGCATTATATGGCTTCTGGGATGCCTCCCAGGGGCAATAGGACTTCATGCGTAGTATCTAGAGGTCCACTGCTGATTTGTAATTTTTTTGCTTTCAAGCTTTTCACTGAAGAACCACTCAGGTGATTATCAAAAAAAGATCCAGATAAACTTATCATCCTCCTAACAGTTTTGACTAGTAATCATAATATGAAGACAGGTCTCAGACAAGTTTCCAGATATTGATTTGGTTACACTTACAAATATGCAGCATTCTGTGCCTAGTTTCAGAGGCTGCGGGGTTTTCTTACCGCAGAAAGGCTGATCTGCAAATACCAACAAGCTACAGAGATCAGCAGCCGCTACAGGGGCCGATAATCCTTTTAAGGAATTTGAATACATTTGTCCCTTATCAGTCTCATGCATGCCATAGCAGTCTGGTGGCTTCTGTTGTAACTCATTGGCCCAGCCAGGCCTTTTCCCTTCCCTTTTTGCAGATGGTTGTGGTTCTCCCCATTTTTCCTCTGGGACATCACTGAGTGCCACAATTAACTAGAGACAGGATGTTCTGTTACATAAGGCTGCAGCCAAAAACATTTTTTATTGGAGTGACGAAGGGGATTCGCTTTGCTCAAACAGGATCTGGGCCTCATTTAGGGAATCAATAAGGAATTTCCCCACAGGTCAAATTGGCTGGTTGTTTTGCTTCTTTTCCATATAACGATGGGGCTTGAGTTGGTTAGAGCATGGTGCTGATAACACCAAGGTTACCAGCACCTTAACAAAGTACAGTTCCCAATATTTTTGGGGCAGAAACCATGGGATTTCAGCCTGCATTGGGTGTGCTCTAATTGTATGATATGGATCTGCCCTAAGTCTGCAAGCGCTTTTCTTCAGTATGCCAGCTTCCATTTTTGGGGTCGGGGAAGGCGGAATTGGTCAGTTCTGTTCCTCAGTTTTCTAATGTTAAGTCGGGTTCTCCACATTTCCACAATTTGTGTGCATGATATATATATTTAAGGTGTCCTGAAAAATCACCAGCGTTTTAGTTCAAATTTCTCTAAATATCTTCTCTTCCTTGGGAATGCTATTGAATAGAAGGTGCTCTTGTGAAGGAAAGTGGCATATGGAGTTGTTCCCGGATATTTATTTTATCAGTGCTAACGGAACGAATAATCTAGAAAACTGTGGAGCTGTATCTTAACAAGTGTGATGAGAGATTATCACGTTTGATACTCTAATAATTTTATGCTTAGTTAACCAGATGAAAGCAAGATGTTTTATATGCACATCTCAAGATTAGAGATGGGTGGGATCTGTTTGTCATTCCTTTTTCCCATTGATGCTCCAAGTGTAGCAGTGTGTTAAAGTACACAACAAGTGTTATATAAGATTATAGTGGTACAATCGCCGTGGCATGAAAACACTGAGAATGTCTCTGTCTCTCCAGTCATCAGCCTCCCATACGAGTGCCCTAGAGGAGAACATAAATTTGACACTGATAAAATTGGTTTCGTAATCACAAATGACTTCATTTGCGTTTACAGCTATTAGCAAATTTTTAAAAACGACTAGCGACAATGTGCCACACATGTATTCCAGGGCAAAATCTGTCCTTCATTAAATCTTAGGAAATTCTGTTGACACTGGAGGAGATGAGATCAGTATTTGGAAACCTGCCTTCTTATTGACTACAGAGAACAGATGGCAGTACTTTTCATTTTCAGGTACACTTCATTGCTGGAACTTTTGGCTGTCAGAATTACCACAAATGGGGAGATTTAAAACCTGTCAAATGTCACCACTCCTTTGCCTCAAGAACTGTATCTTGGAAAATAGATATCTGTTGGCCCATCTCTCCATCCATCCATGTACTTTCTTCTATAAAAGTAAAATTCTTGCCCATTTCCTCTGGAGGTCTTATTGGAACAATAAGCAAAATGCTGGTCATTGCTTGAACAGGATTGGACAGAAACAGAAAGTTTCTGGAAAGGAAAGGACTAACAACCTATAGAATGTGTTGCATCAATAGTTAAACTAACAAAAACGGTTCAGTCATGTGAAGTAGACAAAAAACAACAACCCCTGAGCAGTGTTGGATGCCATTTATTTATTATAAAAAAGGACAATTTAATATTGGTATTAACATGTATAGAGTATTTGCTTTATTGGTGTGACTATATTGTGATGAGTCTAGATCATTGAGTTATTTTGTACACATTATGAAAAACCAGAAAGGTTATGAACTGGTCACCAAAGTATTATGAGTAAACTTGTTTTGTAGTGTCTTGTGATAGTTTATATAGTATGTATTTATGAGGTTTTTTTGTACATGTAGCGGGTGGTGCTGTGGTCCATATCACTGTGCCTCTTGGGCTTGCTGATCGGAAGGTTGGCAGTTCGAATCCCCACGGCGGGGTGAGCTCCCATTGCTCTGTCCCAGCTCCTGCCAACCTAGCAGTTCAAAAACACACCAGTGCAAGTAGATAAATAGGTACCACTGTGGCAGGAAGGTAAACGGTGTTTCCGTGCGCTCTGGTTTCCATCACAGTGTTCCGGTGCTCCAGAAGCGGTTTAGTCATGCTGGCCACATGACTCGGAAAGCTGTCTGTGGACAAACGCTGGCTCCCTGGGCCTGAAATTGAGATGAGCACCGCACCCCATAGTCGTCTTTGACTGGACTTAACCATCCGTGCGTCCTTTACTTTTACCTTTGCATGTCTATAATTTAAAATGTGTGTGTGGCTGGGGGGTGGGGACAGTGATCTCAGCTGCTGTCACCTGGTAGTACATTGAAGGATTGTACAAAGCAATTGCACAACACATAATTGGTCTAAGAGAGAATATCCTGGTGATGGGACTCTAGACATTTGGCTGCATTATAGATGGAGCTGCATTACTTTAAGTGAACCTAATCTTAATGATGTAGCAAGGAGAACTGGGAAGGGGGCAGCACATTATGATTGCATTTCCCTCAACAATTATGTCATTCAGTTCAGAGAGTCAGACTCCTTTCTGCCTTTCTCCTGAAGCCAGGAGAGCGCTATAATGCACTGAATAGTCACCGACTATGTTTTAATGGGCTTAATGTGCCTACAGTGGGCTAGAAATTCAAATTAATAGGCACAACTGATGTGGCACATGAGAGACTGAAGCTGCCTCTATTTGCTGATGAAGCTGTATCAGGGCATCACCTTCTGTGCTGTGGCTGCTACAGATGTCAGTCTATTCAGAGTAGCCCAATTTACTTGCTCCCTCTGTGCATAGGGCTAATGCACAGGGGGCAATCCACAGTCTAGGGTCCACTTGTGGCTGCAATCTCATTCCATGTCTCCTGAACTGTTTTCCTTCTAATGTTGCACCAGAGATTCCTCCTCCTTGTTTCCCTCCTTGTTTTCCCTGGTTTTTAAAAGTTTCCCTCTAGATGACTTAGCAGTGTGTGTGTGTGTGTGTGTGTGTGTGTGTGTGTAACACATTTAGGTCAGAAAATAATTACTTTTGCTTGCCAAGAATAGTAGCTATTCCCTTATATTTTTTTAAAATCATGGCATTTGATAATAATTCCATCAAATCCAGTGGACCTTACAAGCGAAGTAGACCGGTGAAGTTTGAGCTGTGTGAGCAGTGCACATGAACGGGATGCTGAGACAAGGAGGCACCATCTCACAGCCCGGTAAGCCAGGCTCTGAACTTTGGGAAGGGAGCATGAGGCTCTGACAAGGTCCTAGAGTCCTCCCACCTCATTCCCAAAGCCTAGTTAGCATTTTCCCAGCTTTGGGAAGGAGGTGGGAGGGCCTATTTTTATTGTGTGAAATCGCCCTTGTACTGCAAGGAACTGTGATGTCACTGTGCTCTGTTCAATTCCCATGAAACTGTCGTCTTGAATGTATATGTGATGAGAACTGAAGCCCCACAACATCTACAGCAGAGCTTCCCAAACTTCTGAGTTCATTGGCCCCTTGATGAATTTACAAAGTCGTCACCAACCGAAACCCAAAATCTCCTTGGAAAAACTACTTTAAAGCTCTTTGAAGGCAGCTTGCTTTTATATCTTGGCATCTTTGGGGAATGAATGAGGGATGTGGGAATCATTCTTGGATACTGTAACAAATACTGTAATTGTTTAAAAAGTGAAACTTTACAACTCTTTCTTTCTTTCTTTCTTTCTTTCTTTCTTTCTTTCTTTCTTTCTTATAAAGCAGAATCGTCTGAGAATACTATGGTATTGTGGTAACATTTTATCAAGCACAGAGGTTCCTCATTGGCAAGGAAGGTGCATTCATACCTCATAAACTTTTCTTCCAACACAGGACCCTTTAATCCTCATTTTCTTTATTTACCCACTGTAAAATAAAGGTAAATGTAAAGGACCCCTGGATGGTTAAGTCCAGTCAAATGCACTCATTTCGCTGTCAGGCCAAGGGAGCCAGCATTTGTCTGCAGACAGCTTTCTGGATTATGTAGCCAGCAGGACTAAACCGCTTCTGGTGCAACAGAACACTGTGATGGAAACCAGAGAGCACGGAAATGCCACTTACTTTCCCACCGCAGCGGTACCTATTTATCTACTTGCACTGGCATGCTTTCAAACTGCTAGGTTGGCAGGAGCTGGGACGCAGCAACAGGAGCTCACCCTGTCGCAGGGATTCGAACCGCCAACGTTCTGATTGGGAAGCCCAAGAGACTCGGTGGTTTAGACCAGAGCACCACCCATGTCCCGAATAAGCAAGCACAGAATCACGGATAAGCCACCCGCCATTGTGAGGCTCAAAGCAATGAAGATGATGCCTCCCCAGCTGTTGCCATTGGCTGTGGGTTTCTTGTGATGTCACAAAAGCCCTTGGCAACTGAGTGGATATAAAGGCAGGCCAAGGGGAAAGCCCTTTTCTGTTTCCAGCAGGACACACCTGGCAATGGATGTGACATTCAGCACTGCCCAGGTTTCTTCCACCTGGAGGAGGCAAACTGGTGAATGGAAGGAGGCAATCCTCTGGCAGTGGGATGCTAGGGAGTGATAATAAGGCAAGTTTGCTTGCTTGAATGCTACTGGTATCCATGGTTGGAAGCTGGCTGATGTCTCATGATGGACCTAAGAGAAGCTGGCAGATGTTGGTAGATGGAAACCAGTGGCTTTTGGATTTGGAAGTTGGTGGAGGCTACAAGGCTAAAGCAGACTGATGTTTGTGGATGTTGGCTAATGGAAGTTCACCTTTGGAAGACAGTCAACAGAAGCCAGTGGATATTTGTGGACTGAAGCCAGGGCACGAACGTGAATGGATGTCATGTTTTTGGATGTCGGCTGGTATATGTTTGTGTGAGTACATGGGAGGTTTCAAATGTGGTTGAGGCAGAATGGTGTTTGCATGTGCACGAATGTGAACAGCCAACTTCCTGATCAGCAAGCCCAAAGGCTCAGTGGTTTAGATCACAGCGCCACCCGCGTACTGTTGTGATATAATGCTGACACAAAAAAAAGGTAAAGGTAAAAGACCCCTGGATGGTTAAGTCCAGTCAAAGGTGACTATGTGGTTGCAGCACTCATCTTGTTTTCAAGCCGAGGGAGCTGGCATTTGACCACAGACAGCTTTCCGTGTCATGTGGCCAGCATGACTAAACCGCTCCTGCTGCAACAGGACACCGTTATGGAAACCAGAGCGCATAGAAACGCCGTTTACCTTCCCGCCGCAGCGGTACCTATCTATCTACTTGCACTGGTATGCTTTCGAACTGCTAGGTTGGCAGGGGGCGGGTGGCACTGTGGTCTAAACCACTGAGCCTCTTGGGCTTGCTGATTAGAAGGTCAGCAGTTTGACGGGGTGAGCTCCTGTTGCTCTGTCACACACTGTACAGTCCCATCAACCTGATGTTTTTGGGGGTCAATATCAACCACTCAGAAACCCAATCTAAATTGCCAAATTTTAAGGAAAGAGATGTGGAATCCTAGTGGTGGCAGAGTGATGGCTCAGGGAAAGTTCATTATGAGCCATGCCTGGACTTCTGTGGAGTTTGGACTCGATTTGTAATAAACTCCGTGGGCAAACCATTAAATCTACTTCTGCAACACCCATCACTACCAGTTTCAAACTTTGGCACTGCCAGAAGCTTAAGCTTACAGTCTCAAAGGGGCAATTTGGCTCCATTTTCTTCTCCTAAAAACAGGCCAGCAACTTTTCCCTAAAGTATTCTTTGCTAGCATGCTTGTCCTTTGCCTTGGAAGCTGGGACTGTTCTGGTGTGATAAACTCTTATCACCCTTCCAAATCTTTAATTCCCCAGATGACCTACTAGTAAATAGGATGCAAATTAGGTCCCCAGCTGCACTATATTTGAATTGTGAAGTAAATGAAAGCCACAAGAATCCCCTCTTATCAACTTTCTACCCATTGGGAAGGTACATGCGAGAAAGTCTTTGATGTTTGATCCCTGAGAACTCCATCTGACTTTGCTCAGTTGTGTAAAGTTAAATCTCCACAAAGTTTGATAGCATAAGCAAACTGCTTGGTTTGGAGATTAAATATATAATCAAGGTGGGGTTTTTTTAATTAAAAAAATAATAAACTCAAAAGAGATGTGCAGTAAATTACTTCTAGTGGACTTTGGTTCAGATCACAGTTCCTCATCTTTTTCTAATTATTGAATGGTAATGCCAGTCCCTGGCTGACAGACCACTTGTGATATCAAAGTTTTATCCTTAATTACCAAGTCTAATAGATTAGCAGTTTACATGACACAGAGGTCAAGACTTTTCAATGCAGATTACCTACTGGTTTTTCCTCATATATATTTAAGGTAGGTTTCCGCTTTTATGATTAATATTAATTGGTTTTATTGATTGTATGCTTTTAACA